CCAGTATCCCTTTAAGTGAATATCACTTAAATCATTATAATTAATATTCATTTGAATCTCTGGTTTTTCATTATTTAAAGTTCCAAATCCTTCAAAATAACCAGTAATAAAATCTCCTTAATAATTGATACTTCCATCTTTAAAATATAAAATACCTTTTCCATGCATCTAGCCAGTAAAGAGTTGCCCTTCATACTTTAAGATAGTCTTTGATTCATCATAATAAAGTTTATGATTTTTTTTATTTTAAATCATCTTCTAATTGAAATATTGATGTTAATTATTCATTTAGGTTTCCCATATTTTTCTATAAGATTCAAGCTTACTTATTCCATTAATATGTATTTATGATGTTTCTACACTAAAATCTCCTTGATGATGAGGAACTCCATTAAATTCAATCTAAATTTATGGTTGTTTTTAGATTTTATCTATAATTTGTTATTCATATGTAAAATAAGGAGATTTCTATGAAGGAAAATCTTTTTAAAATCTTGGAGTTGATCTTAATATTCCATGATCCCAAATCCCTATGATTTTATCTTTTGACAACCTATCAAATTAACCATAACCATTTAATTAATCATTACTAAATTCTCCAATATAATATTCTCCATTTGTTAATATCAATTTGCCGCCTCCATGTTTCCTATAATTATTAAGAATAATATTTACCTTCCTTTTTAAAATTCTCCTTCATATTTTTTAGCATAATACATTATATCTGAGCAATCTTAAAAATCATAACTTTTTTACAATTATATTGTATTGTAAAAGTACTGAACTCCAAAATTATGATACTAACCTCTCAAAAATTCACCTTCATAAATCAAATCTCCTGACTTAGATTTGAGACAACCTAACCTAATTAATATTGATATATACCTTTTCCCTAATATTATTCGTTTACAATTTCTCCACAATATTCATATCCATTTTATTCCTATCTTGTTTAGATATTTCCAATTTTTCCTTACTCTTTTTTCATTTTGATAATACTGTCAGATATTTAAATTTAGGCTTTTTCAAGAGCTTAACTTACTTACAGTTCTTCTACTTGATTAAGATTGTTTGATCCAAAAAGCCTAACAGAATCTAATAGTTATAATTTAGGAATCTTTTATATATCATCCATTTTAGTTTAAATACATAATATATTAGAGGAAGGAGACTTTAATTTTTTAATTAATTATTAAAAATTTGGTCTCCTCACTAAATCTGTATCTATCATATCTATTATTATATCAACAAAATTCCCAGAAAATTCTTTTTTAAACTTAATGATGGCTTAAATGCGTTAGGATAGAAAACTTTCATTTAGCTTATATTCTTTATATAAATTATTGCTTTTCTGTTCTATAAAATAATATCCTTAATACTTGTGATTAATTCTAAAATAATCATACCAAGACCAAAAATTTAAACTCTATCTGTGTCACAGACTCTGCCTTCAAATTCTTCGGGTGCAGGAAAACTATCTAATTCAAAATCAATAATTTTTTGGGTTTTATATCTCATTAACTTCTCATATGAAGATTCAGATTCAAAGAAAGGTTTAAGTTTCCAAACATTTCCATCATTAGTAAAAATGTTATCAAAGCTTAAATATTGTTTTTTCATTCCTAATATATGTTATGCCCCAGAAATTGAAACCAAAAGCTCAGTTATTTATTAATAAGTTAAACTTTTCTCCTTTTTTTATAAATATTCTTTCAGGGAATAGGTTGGATGTTCAGTTAAAAGACATAAAGTAAAATAGTTAGTATACCATTTTTCATGCGTATGAACAGCAATCTATTCAATTTTAGCAATTCCAAGATAATTTTGGTTTTAAATTTCTCTAGCAACCTCTAACTCATCCTTAAATGAAGTTTCACTTGATTTAAATTCTTTGTAATCAAATTTTTGGTTCTTTTCATTCTCATAAACTATACAGTTTCCTTTTTCTAAGATCCTTTTCATATTTGATAAGATAGGAATGCTGTCATTTGTATTGCTTTATTAAATACCCATTCGATTAAATATTAATTATAACAGTAAATGCAAGAATCTACTCTTGGTAATTACACTATAGGTAATACTTTAGGAGAAGGTACTTTTGGAAAAGTTAAAATGGGAACTCATTTGTAAACTGGTGAAAAAGTATTTTGATATTTATATCCTATTAGGTAGCAATCAAAATTTTGGAAAAAGCTAAGTTTGAAGATGAAAGTGATGTATATCGAATTGCAAAAGAAATAGAAATCTTAAAGAAATTGAGGCATCCTCACATAATTCAGATTTATGAAATAATTGATTAAGAAAAGGAAATTTATTTAATAATGGAATATGCTAGTGGTGGAGAATTATTTGAATATATTGTAAAAAATCGCAGAGTTTCAGAAAAGATTGCATGCAGATTCTTATTATAAATATTATCAGGAGTTGAATATATGCATAAAATTGGAATTGTTCATAGAGACTTAAAACCAGAAAATTTGCTTTTTGATAATAATCAAAACATTAAAATAGTTGATTTTGGTTTATCAAATACATATAAACCTAATGAATTATTAAAAACAGCATGTGGAAGTCCATGTTATGCTGCTCCTGAAATGATTTAAGGTTTAAAATACTCTGGATATTTAATTGATATATGGAGTTGTGGTATTGTTTTATATGCTATGCTTTGTGGATATCTTCCATTTGAAGATTAAAATACTAGTTAATTATATCAGAAAATAATTGCAGGTGAATTAGTATTTCCTAAATGGTTGTCATCTGATGCTAAAGATCTTCTAAAAAATATACTAAACACAGATCCAAAAAAAAGATATACAATACCATAGATAAAGGGACATAGATGGGCTAAGGCTGTTAAAATTGAAGATCATTAAGCAAATATAGGGAGTGATAATATTTTAATTGATGAAATTATTGTTGAATAATTGAAAAATTTATACTCAATAGATCCACATCTATGTAGAAAATTTGTTAAAAAAAACAGACATAACAATGTAACAACACTCTATTATCTTTAAATGTAAAAAAATAAAAAAAATAGAACATATAATTACTTTAAAAAAGATTAGGAAGATTCAATAACTTAATCATATGTTCTAAATTCATCAATTTTAGATTCTGCTAATACAAGCAATAATAATACTTCAAGATAAAAGTAAAACACTAATAGTGGTCACTCTCCATAACATCGAATCATGGCTTAAATTAATAATAGATAGTAATCACCTTCACCTCAACCCTTAAAATAAATAACTAAACCAGAATCACCAAAATAATTTAATATCTTATTAAAAAGAGATATAATAAAACGAGCTTAGATAAGACCCATAATCCCTCCTATACTAAAACCTATTTATCAAGCTGTTAATAACTCTATTTCGAGTGTTGGTACTAATGGAAACACACCTTTATAAACAAATAGAAAGACAGAAGATTCTTTTTCATTAGATAAAGCTAGACCAAAAGTTTTATTTATTATTATCCAAGATTATAAATAGAGAGCGTGCTGTTAGTGCCATATCTGAATATACTTAACCCAATCCAACTAAAAATCCATTACCAAAAATTCATAAAGGCACCTTCAACTTACAATGCACTACAAATAAAGACCCTGTCATCTTTGCTGCTGAACTATAAAAGATAATTACTTAAATGCAAATCAAAATACTACAGGTATGATTATCATTTATAAGTTTATCAGTAAAATGATCCATACGAGATAGTATGTTCAGCCAACTTATGTCTCAAATTCGAAATTTAAATCAGAAAAATTCATAATTGTGATGGACTTTACTTATTAAAGGCACACTATATTAATGGAGATTGGGAAGAATATCAGAAGACTTTAAACAAACTTATTTAATTGCTAAATTTTTGAAATTTAAATGATTATATTATACTTAAATTTATTTTATAACAGATCTCAATCGAATAAAGTTATTTTATTTTTCTTGAATAATATTATTCATTTTTTGTAACAAAAATTCAATATTTGCTTTTAATTATAATTATTCCACATAAAATTAATATTAGTTTTTTATATTATTAACTTACAAATTTAAAGACGATTAAAATGTAATAATATATTTTAAAGTAATTCTAAATTTCTCTATCCTCTATATTTAAATCTCAAAATTCAGTTTCAATTATTCTAAATAAGAACTTCAAGGATAGTTAATTTTGGTACTTATTTATTTAGAAATAAAAATATGCTGTAATTTAATTAAAATCATCTAATTGGACCCAAGCCTATTTTCATGCAGCCTTTGGAATTTTATAGGAATCTGGATGTAGATGACACTTAATGTACAGATGACTTTTCCAATAAAATTTTATCTTAAACTAATAATTCTTTCACATAAACTCCCAATATATAGACTAATGGACTTGCCAATTAAAAAAATAGCAAGAAAAAAGTTAAATTTAACCTCAACATTGTTCACTGTTAATTTAATTAGAAAGAACCTGCTTTAGCTATAGGAAGGCTAGTTTAAAAATTAATAAATTAAAAACCCCATCTCTATTGGGTAAACCCTTAGATCTTAAAAAACTAATGAGCCTTAATTTTAATGTCTATATTTAATCTTATTTTCTTATAACTATTTACATATAATATCTTTATTTAAACTTTATTAATAAATTTCTGACAATATTTTATGTTTTAGTCAGATTCAGGTAAAATTGAATAATCTAAAAATACATGAGAATAAATAATTTAGAATTTCAGAAGTCTAAACATTCTTCTACTACAGGAATTGATAATTGCAATAGCTCTCTCAACAATCTTTATAAATCTAAAATTAATAATTTGAATTAACATAAATAATTAGGTATAAGAATTCAAAGAGTTTGATTACATTATACCCTGATTTTAAAATACAAGCTAAAAAATTTTAATTCAATAATTTTTCAAGTATTTGATATATTGCTGAACAATTAAAATTATAATTTAAGAAGAATCAAACTCATTATTTCCAAACATCCCCTCTTAAATTATATTTTATGATTATGAAATTTTGTAGTCCATTTTTATTATTGAGTAACAATTTGAAAAATTAGATAATTATTTAAGAATTAGAAGTAAATATTTTTAAATTTTACTAATGAATTCTATACATATTATCAAGCTATCCAATATTTGAATTATTATATTAGAAAGTATAAGATTTTTACCTTATCGCACCCTAATACATAATTCTCTATATTTTACTGTAATAAATAATTTATAAATTCAAGTTTACTTTTGAAAATTCTATTTAGCAGACATATTATTAAAATTAAATGAAATTCTCTAATAAATATTTGAAGATTTCTTTCCAAATCTTTAACTCATTAAGATAGTCTTCTTCAATTATTACATTAAAATTAAAAAAAATATTTAAAAAATTTTTAGTAAATAGGCTTTCTTTTATTTTTATTCTTAGCAAACATCCTGTTTCCCTATTGATTGGTTTTATCTTATTATAATAAAATTTAGTATGATAAATTATTGATACATAATAATTTTGGGTTTTTTTTTCTAAATGTTATATCACTATTAATTTAAATTTTATTTTCTTACCGATTTTTTAATTTTTGCTTTTTCTCCAGATAATAATTCATTAGGAAAATAATTAGAAAATTTTTACATAATATTTCTTAAATATTATTATTTTAATTAAATTTTATGAATATAATTAAGTATTACCGAAAGACCTTACTAAGGCCCACATTTGCATTTTTCTGGAAAAAAGAAGTTAATTAATAAAAGACTGGAATAAACGATGAGAAAAATTAAAATTAAACTGGTGGTATAAAATTTTATTAGATTAAGAATGGAAGGGAAAAGAGGAATATTTAGCTGATCTTAGAAAAAAGAGAGAAGAATATGAAAAAATGAAAATAAAAAATGAAAAAGAAGTTCGTACATAAACTATACGATAAGCAAGAGAACATGAAGTTAATTATGGAAAAGTGGATTTCGCAAAAGTTTTTATTGATAACATAAATATCTAATATTCTAGTGAATTTAAGCATCCAGAAGAAATGTTTAATTTTCTAGGAACACTCAAAGTACAATTAACTGAATAAAATTTAATGTCCTGCGTTAATGCCTTTATTTAGTTTGCAGATAAAATTACAGAAGATGATTTAATAAGATATGAATTTTAAGAATTTTAAGCAATCTTAACTAAATAAATAAGAATAATAAGCAATGTTGATAATTTAGTAAAAATCACAAAATTACTTGATATATTATGTTTGCCATCTGAGCATGAAATTTGGGGCTAATTAGAAATTTCTATTTTGAATAGAATGTCTAAATTGACTTTAAATTAGCTTTTGGAAATCTTATCTCATTTAAGCAATTAAAAAGAAGGTTCAGATTAATTTTGGGATTAGTGCGAAAATTAAATTCAGGATGGACTTAATAAATTGCATGATATAAATTAACAATACCAATTAGTTATTTAAACTTTAATGTGCTATTGGAGAGTTTAAAGAGGGTAACTTATCAAAATCAATAAATAGAACCAAATAATTTATAAGGGGTTTAATAGGAATAATGTTGTAAAATTCAAAAGATTAGACAATTTATTAAGAATTACCATTAAATTCTATAATTTAAGGTGTTCTTGTTATGGGATAACTCTGTGAAAAATAGGATACAGTTGATATTGTTAAGAGTTAACAATTCAAAAATTATTTTATTGATGTAGAATAACATTTGTTAAAATAATTTGATACTTTGAATTTCGAATAAATTTGCTTAATAAGTTAAGGGTTTGGATTTGAATTCGGAAGTGAAAAATTTCTGTAGAAATTGGAAAGTAAAATTTTAGAAAACTTTGATAAATATGATTTATAAGAGTTAAAACTGATAGTTAAAAGCTTTTTGCTTTCATATAGAGGTTCAAAGTAAAATGACATTATAAAATAATTAGGAAATTGTTTAAAATTATGATGAACAAAATTTCTTCTTTAAAACATGAATTTACATCAACAGAATTAGCGGAGATCGTAAAATCCTATTATATTACAGAAAATGACAACTAAGAGTTTTATGTTGACATTGAAAGAAAAAGTATCTATGATATTTAATCAGTTTTATAGAGATTAAAAGAGGTTAGAGAAATAACACCTTCAGAAATTTATGAAATTGCATACAGTTATTTAATTACAAGAATAGGATCAAGAGAATTTTATAAATTATTGGAGATTGTATTTGATCAAATATAAAATTTAGGTTATAACTTTTAGATTTGAAGATTTGAGATAGAATGCTATTTTAATGAGTAAATTACATGATTTATACTTAAAAAGTGCACTTTGTGACACAAAACTCATAGAAAGGATGGCCTCTGTTTTGTGATAATTTGGTATTTGTGTTTTTAGAATAATCTAATTTAATTTACACAAATAAAAGCTACATGTCATTTTATATTTCTTGTTTTTTTAACATCCGATCTTTATCTTTTACATTATATTCTCTATTTAATTTTATATTAACTAGGTGGAGGTATTATAAATTCACTTTTATCTGGTTTACTGCATTCGAAAATCATTTCTCTTAATTTGTCGATAGCATCTTCTAGATTTTTTGATTATTCCCTAGTAAATTGACTTGTTAGAATAATTTCTCCTTCCTTATTGACAAAATTGGGATAAAGCCTTAAAAATTTTAATTTCTATTAATCATTTAGCCAATCAGCAGATTATAGATTAAATCTTATTTCAGCTTTAGAATTTGTTTTATTAACATGTTATCCTCCTGGTCCAGAGCTTTTACTAAACCTGCATTCTAATTTCTCTTTTGGAATAAATATGCTTCTATAGGAGCAAAATTTAGTTAGCAATAATTATTGAAATTTAAACATTTAATGTTTATTGCGAGAAAAATATTAATTTGAATGAATAATTATCTGTAATGAATTAAATGTCTATAAACTTAGTGATGGAATAAAATTTGTTGTTTTATATTAATATTTAATATTTAACAAATTATTATGGGTGCTGCAAATTGTTAATCATGTTGTGCTAAGTAAGAAAGTGAAGCAACCGAATTAAAGATAGGAAAGGATAAAGTAAAACCTAAACATGATAATTCTGAAAATGATAATGCATAAGTTGAATAAAAAGCTTAAGCAAAAGATCATGAGAGATTTCTTGTAGATTAAGAACAATAAAAATAGAAGAAAGAAACTAAAAAAGAGTAGAAAAAAGAAGCTGTTAAAGAAACTGCTGCAAAAAATGTAGATGAGAACTCAAAAAAGTCATAAGAATAAGATAAATAGTTAAATATATCAGCTAATCATTCAGTTAGCATGAATGTGGCTAATAATTAAGAAGGAAATGATTTAATAAAAAGTACAATGAATTGCAATGAAAGAAAAAAACTACCTCCTATATAATTAGAGTCTGGAGCTGTTTATGAAGGAGAATGGAAGAATGGAATGAGAGATGGGGTTGGAAAGTAAAAGTGGCCAGACGGATCTATATATGAAGGGGAATGGGTAGAAGATAAATCATCAGGGAGGGTATTTAAATAATATAANTATTATAAATTCACTTTTATCTGGTTTACTGCATTCGAAAATCATTTCTCTTAATTTGTCGATAGCATCTTCTAGATTTTTTGATTATTCCCTAGTAAATTGACTTGTTAGAATAATTTCTCCTTCCTTATTGACAAAATTGGGATAAAGCCTTAAAAATTTTAATTTCTATTAATCATTTAGCCAATCAGCAGATTATAGATTAAATCTTATTTCAGCTTTAGAATTTGTTTTATTAACATGTTATCCTCCTGGTCCAGAGCTTTTACTAAACCTGCATTCTAATTTCTCTTTTGGAATAAATATGCTTCTATAGGAGCAAAATTTAGTTAGCAATAATTATTGAAATTTAAACATTTAATGTTTATTGCGAGAAAAATATTAATTTGAATGAATAATTATCTGTAATGAATTAAATGTCTATAAACTTAGTGATGGAATAAAATTTGTTGTTTTATATTAATATTTAATATTTAACAAATTATTATGGGTGCTGCAAATTGTTAATCATGTTGTGCTAAGTAAGAAAGTGAAGCAACCGAATTAAAGATAGGAAAGGATAAAGTAAAACCTAAACATGATAATTCTGAAAATGATAATGCATAAGTTGAATAAAAAGCTTAAGCAAAAGATCATGAGAGATTTCTTGTAGATTAAGAACAATAAAAATAGAAGAAAGAAACTAAAAAAGAGTAGAAAAAAGAAGCTGTTAAAGAAACTGCTGCAAAAAATGTAGATGAGAACTCAAAAAAGTCATAAGAATAAGATAAATAGTTAAATATATCAGCTAATCATTCAGTTAGCATGAATGTGGCTAATAATTAAGAAGGAAATGATTTAATAAAAAGTACAATGAATTGCAATGAAAGAAAAAAACTACCTCCTATATAATTAGAGTCTGGAGCTGTTTATGAAGGAGAATGGAAGAATGGAATGAGAGATGGGGTTGGAAAGTAAAAGTGGCCAGACGGATCTATATATGAAGGGGAATGGGTAGAAGATAAATCATCAGGGAGGGTATTTAAATAATATAATTTTAGGGGAGATTAACTCATGCTGATGGAGATGTTTATGATGGAGAATGGAAAAATGATAAAGCTAATGGAAAAGGAACTTATATACATGTGAATGGTGCAAAATATGAAGGAGAAGTAAGTTTTCTTTTTAAAATGTAAAGTGGGAAAATGATAAGTAACATGGAAAAGGAGTAGAAAATTGGCCGGATGGAGCTAAATATGAGGGTTAGTATTTTGAAGGAAAAAAACATGGTAAAGGAATTCTTAATTTTGCTGATGGTTCAAGATATGATGGTAAATTTGTAGATGTAATTTCAAGGTGAATTTCTATAAAATGATATTCATGGAGAAGGAACTTATATTTGGCCTGACAAAAGAGTTTATAAAGGATAATGGAAAAAGAACAAAATGCATGGGAAAGGATAGATCATATGGCAAGATGGTAGAAAATATACTGGGGTAATAAACTAGTTAAATCTAGGAATATGAAGAAGATAAAAAGCATGGTAAAGGAGTTTTCGAATGGGCTGATGGAAGAAAATATATAGGAACTTGGATCTAAGGTATGTAAATATTTCTAATCTAAAAGGAAGGTAACACGGAATTGGAATTTATTATTTATAAAATAAAGAAGTGAAAGTTGGAGAATGGAATGAAGGGAAAAGAATTAAATGGTTTGAAAAAAATGAAATAGATTAATTAATATCAGAATCGAAAATTAAAAGAGAAGATTTATAATAATCTGATTGATCAATATAACTAATATTTCATTTGGCTTCACAAAGTTTTCAGAATCAATTTGTTTTTTTATCATTTATGTAATTATAAATAAGGCTATGATTCATTATAATCTCTCATTTTTTAATTAATATATTTATGAAGGCACAAAAAAATAAGTTCAATTTGCAAAAGGAACTAGAAAAACTTGATATAAATCATCGTCTATTTAAACATGTTACAATCTAATAAATGAAAAAGAATTTAAGAGAAATTCAATTTTTAAGAATATGAATTTATTTCTGCTTGTAGAGAATTATTTGTTTGTTAAAATTATGCTAACGATCTTATAAGTTAATATAAAGAGTTATATCAATCTTTTTTAAGTAGATAAGAAAAATTTTTATTTTCATAAAGTGATTTAAAGCAATATAGAATCCAATGTAAAATTCAAACTACAAATTTATTTGGATGAATTAGAAAAGATTTATTTAGCATCAATAAATAGAAATACTCCCTTAATATACTTGAACAAAATAGATTAAGCTTGATGGATTTCCCAAAGTTTTTATTTAAAGGAGAGTTCCAAAAAATGGTGATGTTTTTAAGGCTCATGTAAATTACTTTCTTAAATAAATGCAAGTAAATGAGACCATTAATAATGGATAATATATTATTATGCACATAAATGATAAAGTAGATCCTTAAGCCAATATCAATTTCAAGGAATTAATTCGATAAAAAGATATTTCTTATTTGAATATGGATTAGTATATTCTTTTCGATAAAATATTAAAATTCGGTACAACAGCGTTAGATATTTAAATTTAAGATAAAATTAAATTCAAAATATCAAGAGCTATAAGCTCATTAATTTTAGAGCAAATTTTAAATGGTAGGGATCCTTTCTTTTAGAAGTATCATTTGAAAATAAATTTCATAAGAATTGTAA